CAGAACTATGAAGTCGTTTGTTGAAAAGTCACGGAAGTTTTGTAAATTAGATGTTATTGCTTGTTGTTGCACAAGTCATATAAAGCTAAGAGATGATGAGAATAAGCAGTATATGTACCCTTTCAAAATATACATTATGGTCACAATCTAGATTTGCAACACTTGAGAATTTCAAAAGTGAATAAAGGGTCTACTACCTAATAGCTTCAAAATTATTTGCGTTGTGGGTGAATACAAAATCAGGTAAAATAATATTGGGTTTTATTGTAATAACATATATTTTTTTAATAATTTGACTATATTATTATTATACATAATATATATTTTCAATAAAAATCTTTGTTTTTATTGGTTATATAGGTAATTTTATTAGGTATAGTCACAAGTTTAAAATTAACATTCCAAATATGATTATGGCTTATATCGAAACATTTGTAGTGCGTAATTACATAAATATACCTAATGAAATTATATGACTGATAAAATTCGTGGAAGTTTTTTAATGAAAATGTATAGTTTTATAACTATTAGTCTGTCTCTAGGAACCATTTTTTATGAAAAACGTTTCAGTCTAGGTACTTGGAAATTTAAAAGAGATGAATATCTTTACTAAAAACAGAAGGTATTGACAAAATGATCTCATCTTATTTGGGTTAATGGATATATTATTTTGATAACATATATTTTTGTTAATTTATTAAATAGTCAAATAAAAACAAAATCAAAAAATTGTTATTTGTTAAAGTAAATCAGACATTTGTTAAATTACAGAAATATGATTGTCTTCAAGAACAGCAGCAATAAAGCTCCCAATAAAAATATTGTTCCCCGTTTTGATCATTTTTGCGATATTGTCTATCTGCATCCACGATAACTCAAAAATTGATAAAGAGAATAACATCAAATTCTAAACTTAAGGTTTTTTTATTCTGAAATGAGCTGATTAGATTTTCCACATAGTCAGAGCATCTTGAAGGGTACTTTATGGGGGTTGTTTTCTACTGTTAGGTTTATTTTTGTTCAGATTGCAGAATAAATAAATTCTTGGTATAACAGTTGTAATTACAGGCAATTTCAGGGTGGAACAATAAAATCTATGTGCTGTTTTTAGTGACATGTGCTCTAAACAAGGCAAGCTGTGAGCCTCACACTAGATGCCAACCGTAAGGAGAAGGTGTTCATGAGAAAAATTTCCACCACAGTAATAAAAAAGAAAAAAACGATTTTTTAAAAATCTGCACACCTATGTATTATGTAATAAGGTGGTAATAAAGTTTTAAAGTCCACAGAATCCTGATCTATATTATAGTAAATATTGGATTTGCAATTAGTATATAAATGTAGAAGTTCATGAGCTGGGATTATATTTTGAATTATTTTGTCCTATATTTGTAATTATAATTAGCCATTGTTTTGACATCAATCGTAGGTATATATAGGTGGAAGAGATATACTTACCTATTATGAACAACTTATTTTTCATTTTATTTCAATAATACACTACTTTATTTATGTTTTTTTAATATTATTTTTATTTTCAGTAATTATATTATTATTTTTATATATCTACCTATATATGATATAGATATATAAGATTATAAACTTCTTAAAAATATAGGTACATAAGGTACACCATATTTTTGTGTTTTATTTATTTTCCTAAACAAAACGTTATGATCATTATTGGCCTTGTCGGATAACCACAAATCTGGCTTATCTACTACAAATATGATTAAAGAAACATTAAGTTTATCTGTAAAAATATTAAATTAAAATCACATTATTCGTTTTATTAAGAAAAAATTCGAAATACCAGTTATTTATATTAAAAACATTTTAATCACTTATTTTGAATATTCTATTTACTGCATTCATAATTTTTAAAACGCCCTCCATTATTTAAATACATTAAAAAACTATTTAAACACCTATTTTTAATATCCTTACTTACTGTATTAACAGTTTTTAAAAGTCCCTTCATTTTTGTATCTGACAATTATTGAAATACGTAAAAAGATTCCTTTTACATGTTTTTAAACTTTGCCGCGTATATTTACATCATTCTTATGACAATTTAGCGAGCATGCGCATTATATGGAGCCACCAGTGGCATTTAGCATCTCGTGTCTTTTGACGGTTGTTGGAAGTTGATCATCCTCAAATACCCATGTATTACTTTCCTGACATGCTGGAACGTTGTAAAAAGGGATATAAGTTTCGCCACCTGACACAACTTTTAAATAATTCGATTCTGACGTGCAATTAAACGTGTAGGATTTTATGAATGGCCGCGGATATTATGCCTAGGGTTGTCTCTATAATTTAGTATTTTGATATTAATCTTCTGACAGTAGTTTGGTCTTCTTTCATGCTCTTCGTCCTTAAGGCTACTACGACCTCTCCGAAATTCCGCAAACCATCTATATACAGTAGCTCGAGGTGGTGCTTTATCTCCAAATACCAACACAAGCCTTTCGACACTTTGTTCTTGGGTCAGGCCCAACTATGAAATCATAAAAGATCATAGCTCGTTAATGATCTCTGTAGTTCCATGTTTCGCACAATTCACTTAATTCTCAAACTATTAGACCTGTTTAACAGTAAAATATGGTGCTGCAAAAAATGTGGACTAGAAACTTTTTAAAGCAAATACTTGTTGTGAATCTTATTCATATTAGAGCCTCGTATTATCGTTTTTCTGATCCTATACATACAGTGTAGAGAGAAAATCTAGTAACAAGGTATTTTAGGGTGATGAGTGGGACTGTATTACATCAGTAATGTGGTACTTTTTTAGTACTATTCAAAAGAGGATATAATAAACTTTTTTCTGATATACCACTCGCCATTTAAAAAAATCAATATGGCGAAGGTACGCCAAATGCTGACGTCACATAAATTTGACATGTTCTCTAAAAAATGTAGTCTACAGACACATTCATTACCCTACAATTTCGTAACTACACATTCATTCGTTTCAAAGAAAATACCTTGTTGCCAGACTTTTTCCGTACCATATAGTTACACCTGTTCTGAAACGTTAAAATTATGATTTAAAACTCCATTTTTTTGGTTTAAATGTTTAAAACGCTTGTAAGATTTTGGGGTAATCTAATATTTTATACGGTTCTAGAAGCATTTCAACATTCGAAAGAATGGATTGAAAGTATTTAATTTAAAACAAATGTATTGGAACTTTCTTGTTGTGCTTAACATTTTGGCAAATTTTTAGAACGTTTGTAGTTTCCTAGTTCTGGATGTTCACAAAAAATGTTTTATTAACAAATATTATTAATGGACGACATTTTTTACATAGATTTGGATAAGATGATTACTTCTTCATAATCAGATCAAGAAGTTGTAGGTACTTCATCGGATAAAGAAGTTGTTCTACGAAACATATCATGCATTAATTATTTATCAATACATTTTTTTTTTGTTAAATTTAACCATAGATTGTTCCTAATATTAATTAATAATATGAATTTTTGTAATACAAAAAAATATTTCGAACACTGTTGATTTAGTTAATCCAAATTTTACATTTACAAGACTTTTTTCCATTGGCGAAGAAATTTAAATGTTCCAATTACTAAAAATTGTACTAGAATATTCTAATACAATCTGAGTTTGTCGTTCATTTATACGATGTTACAAGGATGGCTTTACGGATAATTTACCTTGCAGAACTTTTTAAAATACGTCAAATTACTGTCAGTTTTAGTAAATAATTAGGTAATAATGTAACTGGTCAAAAACAAGCATTCTAATTGACCTTATAGCTCAAGGGCCGATGACGATTTTGGGAAAGGTATTTTAGGCAACTTGAAATTATTAAAAAACCATATTTAAGTAAGTCAATGAATATAAAAACGAGTGTCTATCCGGGCATTTGTGGTTATTTTGTGCTACTGCTCAGCATATGACATTCGCAAAAATTTTATTCCAAAAAATATGTTTTAGGCAACTTAGAATTATTTGAATTTTTTATTTTCAGGATTTATAGAATCTAAATATAAAAATGCCAGACTATTTTGATGGTTTATTTACAGTATAACCGAAGGTGTTCGATAGATAAAATTATTGTAGCTAACAAGGCCCTAAGACATATAACTAGTTCTGAAGTTTACAAATTTTTCCTGCATCCATTTTCTGAGAAATCGATCGATGAAGTTCCTGAAGTATTATCAGACTGCCTCGAATTTGTTTTATTATTATATCCAAAAAATATACTTAAGGCACCTTAACATTTAAACAACAAATTTATTATTCGTCTGATTGCGATATTCACAATGTATATTTTTTTCTTCAACCCACTAACGAAAATCTATAGATTTTAAAAACCAATTTAGAGGTTATAAAAATAAAATAATTATTTTAAAATTTATTCATGATTTACTAAAATATATAATAAACTAAAAAAAAAAAAGATTTTAATTTAACTTAGCCAACTAACACTGATTATTTAAAACTCATAACCACTATATTATTGGTTTTAAATAGTTTTATTAAAATATACAATTTATTTGCAAATATTGACGACTTTCTTGTGTTCATGATATGGTGATGACATCTGCACGATTTTGAAGTCGGTTTTTTAAAATTACTTTTAATACTTGTTATAATTTCAAGTTGCCTAAAACACCTTCTCCAAATTCGCCATCAGCTCTCCGACTATTATGCTTGAGTGCATAATCCAGAGAGCCAACTTTTAAAATAATTAGTACTCTTTTATTTTAATTTCTATTCGCAACTGTTAACATAATGAAATTTTCGCATTTAGTAAGTCACATAACTTTCCAGTAATATGTAACAAGTTACATAAAGAAGATCATTTTGACTATTGCTGCAATTACAAAAGTTGTCACTTTATATGACAAAATTAAATATGGGATTTAAGTTTAAAAATGGGATTTAATTTTAAAAATGTGTACTTTAATTATTTTACAGATCTCTTCAATCTATCACATAATCGATGCCAAAATATCACTTTATCTTACCTTTGGTAATGCTGCACCTCCCATTCCTCTTTCATCCTCTCCTTCATCTCTCCATGCTTCCTCTTACACTGCTCCCTGAGCTGACTATAATTCATCCACTTATACTCTGTAGGTAACTCTTTGCCGTCCAACGACTCCACGCTAATATTTGAGGTAGTTACTAAATCACTTAAATCACGCTTAAAGTTAGATAGGAACGATTTCGTTTGGTTTTTATCGTGTCCAAACTCACAGTCGATCAGTTGATCGTCGTCGTCGATGATCAGCTGGATCAGATGGTTGGCGTGGGTCAGCTGGCGAAATTTGAGACCGAAATTTGATCTGGAAAAGAAGAATATTGAAAATTAGTAGATATTACAGTAAATTGTAGAAACTATTGCTTTTTTAAATTTATTTAAAATATAATATACAGCAATAGAGATGCCAAGGCTTGTGACTGCACCTTTAATGTCATATACAGGGTGTTAGTATATTTGACCAACAATGCTATACTCTAGAGAGGTATCGTTAATTAATGAATTTGGATAGAGGAACATGGACTCTTTAAGTAACATTATATAATATTCTACTTATAATACTTACAAAAAATAAAGTGTGTAAAAGAAATAAGATTAATTTGAGTGTACCTTAAATACGGCTTTAAATAATAGGCAATTTGATTTTTCCGATGGCGAATGAGTAGACAATAAGAGGTAGAAACAGTTTTTATACAAAAAAATATGGGACTATAAAAGAAACAGTAGTATCGCGAGAACAATAATATATGAAATTTTGGATTACTTTGGTCTCTATTTCTATATTTTATCAATGAATCTCATTTTCAAGCAAACAAATTTTAATTATTTTAACGTAATTAAAGTTGGAATCTAGAACATAACTTGTTACTAGTCATTACAAATACTGTAATACATCTCGTTGACAAATACCTTGTAAATTTGTAATTTCGTTTAAAACAGGATATTACATGAACATACTTTATTTTATAATGTACCTTTATTGGTCTATTCTCTGAAATATGACATAAATGAAAAAGTCTAACTATAAAGCCTGCTAATAATTATAAAAGGGCCGTAAAAAAGTAATAGAAATAAAGGACATCGAGCATAAAAAATTACAGGACTATTTGTTTGCACACCCCCTGTTCAAAGGATCTAAAATGTGACAATTCAAAAAGTCTAACTATAAAATCTGCTAAAAGTTATAAAAGGGCAATATAAAAATAATAGAAATAATGGGCATTAAAATGTCAGGGTTGTTTATTTGCACACCCCTTGTTCAAAGGATCAAATATCTCAACGGGTTGAAAAATGAACAACTTTCTTGATTGAAAATAAAGAAGAAAATGTCAAATTATTAAACACTATACTCTGTTTTTAAACTAGGAGGAGCGAATTGAAAAGACGCATTTACACAGGGAAAAGTAACTAGATTTGCTACTAAGAGCGAGTTTCGAGATATTGTCGTGTTCAGAATTTATGAAATAATTATCTTTATTGGTCTTAGTCGGTGAACGGCCAATGAGCGGTTAAGAAACGAATAAATGTCATAGATGTAATTTTTTAATTGGTCCCAGACAACGGTCGCAAATTTCACATTGTGATCTGAAATGTGTGTCTAAAACGAAATGTCACTGTCAATATGGTTGTTGATTGATTTTAGAAATACTTTTTTCTTGCTTTTGAAATCGACTTTTTGAGAATAACTATGATCTTTTTAAAATGGATATTAAATATTTAATGGAATATCCAGATGTAGCCAGGTTAGTATAAAATATAAAGATCTGTTTACATTTTTAAGGATATATTTGTTATAGGTATAAAAAGTAAAAGTTAATCAGTGAATAAGTGGATCACACAGTAACTGGTATCTCTTCTATGAGTAATGTGGATATGGCTTATTTAGTGTTAACCCATGGTTAATGCGCTAGAGGGCAAATAAAGGCATTCAAAAGTTTACAGGCTTATGAGTCAGAATTTGTTTTGAAAACTGGAACCAACATTTTCATAACATATATTTTTTAAAGTGAACTATTCATACATACCTATGTATTAATTTTAAGTATTTTTAAAATATTTTTTGTGAAAGTAATGTTGACTCATTGTGCCAAATTAAGATTATCCCTAAAGTAGTAGATGGTGTTTTAAATGTTATAACAATTTTGTAAATAGTTTTATTCTATTCTAATAAATAAAATTTGCTTGAATATTTAGTTACATTTTAATCATTTTGGTTAGAAATTCATCAATTTTTAGTACTAAAAAATCAGTAAAAAAATTATTTTTTTCTAAAATACTTCGGAATTCATCTCTTCATGGTAATCTCCCATCTTTTTACTTTCAAAAACCAATAATGCATTTTCTACAAAACCTTCAGAATCAGCATGTAAAATAATAAGGTATCTTCCCTTTCTTGTAAGGCCTTTCAGTAATTGCTACCTTTAATAGTACTCAGTGTAGAAGGATCCATAATTGTAGATTTTCAATACAATTGCTTACTAGAGAACTATTATTTACGAAATAAAGTAAAAAACTAAGTAATGGATGAGATATCAAATTTTAAAATGTCAGAACTGTCAACAATATCAATTATTAGCTGATGTTCATGCTAAAAAGTAATGTGTGAAACTGACTGTAATCTGACCAATCAGAAGGCTACAGAATTGCCAACTTAAATTCAAATCGCTCCTCTTAGTTTAAAAACAGAGTATAGCTAATATAAATCACGACACTACTTACTGAAAATAGGTAGTTTCACAAAATAAAACAGTAGGGTATGGGACAATATGGACCACTTTTCAAACTGCGCAGGCGCAGCAATAGCTCTGAAGTTGGATAACATAACCAGCACAGGGATTCTTATGTGCGAACTCAATACGTTACGTGTTGAATAGAGAGAGACATTAGGTACATAAGAATCGCATTCTGTCGAACGAAGATAGACGTTTTCAACACGTGCTGTATTGAAAGATGAGAATCTCACTGTTGTTGATCGATATTAAAATTTAAACCTGTCAACACTGTTGCCAACCTAAACTAACCTAATATATGCCAACTGACAGCGAAAACCTCACGTAAATGTCATCTAACTTAACGTACAATCAGCGAGGAACCTACTTAAAACCATACAACGTATTGTTTTTGACACTTGATTCTGAAATATTATGTAGAAAAAAAAACATAAATGTCCAAATGATAATACAAAAACAAATAACCAAAGCAAGTATGTGAGATGAATTATACTCCTTTTGTAAAGGTTTAATCTATTAAAAATGACAATTAGCTTGAAAAGATTAACTAACATTAGTAACATAATGACAAGTATAGAACAACCATAGAAATATTACCACATTCCCCCCCCCCATTCATTTTAAATATAATCGACTAAATATTTCGGTCGTCGTTTCATTCTAGTGGGTCGAGGATCTTCGTCAGGATTTATCCTAGTAGGTCAGGAATCTTCATTAGGAGGATTCAATAACTGAGTTTTGGAGAGAGTTTCAGATTCTTGAAAATTTTGTGCCGCCTTAGCTTGAGAATCGCGTCTGCAGTTTAAAATATTCGCGTCTTCATCAAGAGGTTGTAGATTTAACTCTGGATTCTCGTCGTTATTATTTGGAAGTTGTAGACTTGTATCTTCAAAAGGTTGTGGAATTGACTCTGTGTTCTCATCATTATTATTATAATTATTAGTAAGGTTTAAATCTCCCCTTGGTGCTAGATATCTTAATGAGACTATTGTTTTTCTTCCATCTGAATGTTTGATGGTAGCATATTCGGAATTGGCTTCAATATGGCATACTTCCTCAACCAGAGGTTCGTACTTATTCTTTCTGTGGAACTTTTTCAAAAGTACTGGACCCGGTGATAAAAGCTATGATGGTAACGAAGTTCCATTAGTGGACTTTCTAGTATAAGCAAACATTCTCTCATGTGGCGTACAATTTGTTGATGTACACAAAAATAATCTAATGGAGTGCAACGCATCTCCCAATACGACTTCCCATTGTGATGGCTGCAAACCTCGTGTTCTAAGAGCTAGTGTAACTAATTTACATAAAGCTATATCAGTTTTGTCGTATTCCTTTTGGTGTAACCAATGGTGTTGCCTGTTTCCAAAGAGTTCTTGATTATATCATAACCACCGAAAAATTAAAGGAAGTTTTTGCCTATCTTGACGACGTAACAACCAGACCGAGCAGGATCAAAATCTTGATCGCCTCTTTGAGATAATTTAAGAATACAATTTTACAATGAATGAAGAAAAATGATCCTGTTCAAAACAAACTATCAATTTGTTAAGCTATCATATAGAAAAAAATACACTTAAACCTGATCCATCAAGATTAGAGGCTTATTAAATTTTCCTTTGTCTAACAATATTGCTTCCTTGAGACGAGGGTTAGGCAAGTTTGCACAGTATGTACTTAGCTCGGCGATAATGACTAAATATTCGTAATGACTGTGAATTCTCAAATCAACAAGCAAGCAACAAGCGGGCAGGCGAGGCGATCCAGTCCTGATAATTGATGTATACAACCAATGACTATTAATTTTCGATGGACTTCTCCAAATATTCTGTAATGCGCATGCGTTGTATTGTCGCTAAAGATCGCACAGCAGTGCCATTCCTACTTTTTTAAGTGTCGGTTGATGTTTTCGTCATTAATTATAAAAATGATCCAAATTCATAAGTTCAGATAATATAAAGAAAAATATTTAAATATCTTTTACAAATTATGGAAAATAGGTATATGGTTGATGCACATCAATTTCTTTCATTATTTCATGAGAAGTACCAGTTTTTTAACATGTCATACTAAATTGTGATATAGTTTTTCCAATTTATAAATGTGTTTAACGAAATTCTTCAACGACGATATATACTTTTACTGCAATCCAAATGTTCCAATTTTTCTTTTTTTTTTTTAATAGCAAAGTCTAGCCCTAATTTAAATATAATTTTTTAGAGTTACAGCTGTGATTTTATATTTAAAAAATTCTCTGAATAACATATTTCCGTATTTTTAAAAAAAGGGTACTTCACTCATGAGCCAAATTCACATTTCTTACTTCCATCATAACTGGTAAATATTTTTTCCATCAGTTTTTTGGTGGATGCCTTGCACAATGCCTTAGCAACTCCACAGGAGGATTCAGAGCCTGTCTTGGTCTTATTTGACTTCTCGTGCTAGTTTGTCAGCCTTTTCATTACCCTTATATCCTTCATGGCCTGGTACCCAGACAAAGGTCATTTTATTTTGACTACTTAGCTCTGTTCCATCATTCATAGGTCTTTTAGGCAGTCTTTCACCAGTCACGATT